TAGGATCATATAGTAGGTAGTTGAAAGCTAGTAGGAAGTAGAAGAAAAAAGCTTTGAAAGAATAATAAATAAAGAATAAAGAATAAAGAAAAGCTACAAAAGCTATAGGAGGCCCTTTCAGGAGGGCCTCCTAATAAAGAATAATATCTACAAAATTGATAGGAGGCCCCCCGATGGGGCCTCCTAATAAATAGAAACAAATATTTGGAACCACTGTATAAAGATGAGCATGATCGTGAGTTAAAAAGAACAGACTACTTTAAAATGGCTTATAGCTGCACGAAACAAAATAAAATTCGACAACTCCAATTCAAGATTCTTCATGGTATTTGTACCACAAATGCTTAGTATACTTAACGCAGATAGGAATTAAACAGGATGCTAAATGTAGTTACTGTCCACTAAGATACACTTTAAAGCACAAGTTATGGGAATGTAGGCGGGTTCAGATAAAGAGAATTTAGAGAAATTATTTAATGTACACTGCCAAAATAACTCCATGCTAAATCAGCGCTAATCTTTTTTCGCGCTAATTTAGCGCCGATTTGGTACGGAATCGGTACAAATAATGTTTGTGTGGAATTAGCGCTAATAAATCAGTACCAAATCAGTACAAACCTCAGTTAGTGCGAAATCAGCACTAACTTAGCAATGCTAATTTAGTGCTAAGTTAGTGCTGATTTAGCACTAACAAAACTTATATTTTTTCTGACTATTATTACAGTATTATTGATTGATTTAAGCAATATTGATATTACTTATTTAGAGTTTGAAATATTTTATTATAAATAACATTCATCATTGTGATTTCTTCATTGATTGAGTTTGACATCTCAGGGAAATCCCCTTGAACTTTTGACCTATGACGTCACACATTCTATGACTCATACAGGAAGTTTGAGAAGCCACATATTTTAAATTTTGATTTCTGTGCCAGTCTCTGCCATCTGTCTGCAATTTTCACTTGTAAGTATATATTTGATTGTTTTGTTATGAATAAATGAGCATATATTAGGTGCACCTCTTATATAGAAGACTTTCAAATACCAGATAGGCTCTGTGGGATAGGCTAGGGCGAAATTCAAAGATAAAAATGAATTCAGGAGGAATTGAAAAAAGAAAATTCAAATTGAAATGAAAAGTCACTGAAAGTGAAAGTCTTATCTTAAAAGTCTAGGGCATAGGCTAGTTCTTAAGAGTTTTAAAAAAATATATATTTATAATCTGCAATGCATAACGTCTTCTGAATGAAGCCAGACATGGGCCAATCCTGGCCAAAATGTAATTTCTGAGTGATTTCAGTTTTTAATTCAATTTTTTATTCTTTATAAGATCATTTTCTTTTATCGAGAATGCATTTCTAGGCTACCTTTTTATTTTATAGACTTGATGTTGGCACTATTGGTCAGATGTTGGCATATCATGAGGAGTGAAGGCAGTGAAGAATACAATACATAATCAATGGATGGAGGGCCATATATCAGCAATGTGGAATGCAACATACTTATGCCATTTAGGCTAGGTGCGTAGAGTAAACGTTTCAACAGTTTTAGGAAATCTAATAATAATTTATTTTGCTTATTCAGCGTATCGTTGGAATCGTGCCCCAATGTCATATTACCATGTTCACTTCATACACACCATGCTCCCATGTTATATCACAATGTTCATTTCATATCACCATGCTCCCATGCTATATCACCATGTTCATTTCATATCACCATGTTCCCATGTTGTATCACCATGTTCATGTCATATCACCATGTTCCCATGTTATATCACCATGTTTATTTCATATCACTATGTACCCTTTTATATCACCATGTTCATTTCATATCACCATGCTCCCATGTTATATCACCATGTTCACTTCATATCACCATGCTCCCATGTTATATCACCATGTTCATGTCATATCACCATGTTCCCATGTTATATCACCATGTTTATTTCATATCACCATGTACCCTTTTATATCACCATGTTCATTTCATATCACCATGTTCCCATGTTATATCACCATGTTCATTTCATATTACCTGCTCCCATGTTATATCACCATTCATTTTATCATGCTACCATGTTCATAACCTTATTCATGCCCTCATGTCATATCACCAATTCAACATGTTAATAGCCTATGCTTCCTCACAGGGCTATAATAAAATTGTAAATATGTCAACCCTAACTATGACAAAATAATCTAGCATAATATTTGGCCCTGTAAAAATATTGGAAACAATTTGTGTATGCAAACTGAATTCTTTGTTCAAAGATATTATTTCGAACTTTAAATTACATTAACTATTACGGTAAGCAAATCTGCAAATGTTCATAGAAAACTATATTTTCAGGTAACTGTTATCAGTTATAACAACAAAAAGCTTGTGGGGGTGGAGCAAAAACCCAAAAGGATGGTTAAACTATAAACAACTTTCACGAGGTATGTATTGATTTATCAAATTAGCCTAATTGATTAATTCAGAATTAATTCAGATTGCCTTATACCTATAGATACTAAACAATGACAGCATGTTCTCTTGATGTCTCAAGAATTGGATTCTTAATAATATTGCATCACCACTATTTAGGAAATGTAAATGTTATACATAGAAAATATACATATATGTACTTAGTAAGTTGCAATCACGATCGTGGATTAAATTGGTTTAACTTATGAATATGCATGTTTAATGCAAATGTGATGAAGCCTCAAATTAGCGTTTCTTTTTTATCATTTCAGGTATAACGATTTTACATCAGGGGAACTAAATCGGCGAATAAGAAGGCACAATGACAGGGTGTTAGCATTAACGAATGATTAAGGAATGACAAGAACAATTATGGACTAAACACACCCCTACACCTTTGAACTGATACCCTTGTAAAGGCAATGACATTTACCAGTTGTATGTTATTGGGAGTTAGGGTCATCATCATTTATATACAGAACGACAGTTTTTGTACATTGTGTAAATAGTGAATCTTTTGTAATTTACTGTTATTTACTGTTACTGTGGTAAATCTTCAATCTGAAGGAAATAAAACGATAGGATAAATAATATACGATAAATACGATAGGACCTACTCCTTTAAGACCAGTAAATGATATGATGAATAAAGTTATAATTTGGTATTATATATAACAAGATAATGTATTATGTTTTAAATGATATTATAGCTGGGATACTTGTTTGGTTATAATATTAATACTAAAAGATACATCAAAATCATGTGATATCATAACCCTTAAAAATCCTTTCCCTTGATGGTCTAATTAAAAACAAGATCTTAATAAAAATGTCAATTTAATACATTTTTATCGAATCAATATACAAAAATTCATCCCCGATTATTTTTAAAAGTTGGTACAAAATTCATACAAATTCAGCACTAATTCCACGCTAATTCGGTGCAAAGTCATCACTAAGGTTAGTGCTGAGTTAGCGCTGAGTTAGTGCGAATTTTGTACCTGCTGTACAGCTCGATTGGTACTAAATCAGTACTGACAGTTTAGCGCTAATTCCACACTAAATTAGTACTAACTCCACACTGATAATTTGATTGCGGATTGGGGGTGTAAATCTTGATTTTAATGCCCATGATATGGTGTTCAGAAGATCTGTAAATAATGTAAACATTTTGATAAATAGGCTATCACTAGCAATCAAATATTATATATATATGCCAAAAATGTAATGAGGTAAATCCCAACTTAGACGTGATTCAATTTGAAAATAATATGTTTTTATATATACCAGAGCTTTTGAGTATGACTGTTGCGAATGTCTGAATGAATGGAAGTGGTGTGAAAGAGGTTTAATATTTCATCTTTGCCTTGTTAAATATATTATTTCATGTTTGATTCAATAAAAAAAGAAAAAAAAAATTTCATGGAAGTTCACTGTAAATTTTGAATTTTTAAATTAAACGAAACGATAACACAGAGAAGAACTGAAAATTACAATAAAAAGTTACTTGAAGATCTTTGTATTATATGGTACCGTAATAAAATATTTTATAGATTTAATTTAGATTTAATTTTAGTTCTCTTGTTTCGTGTCTCATTATTGGAACATTATTGTATTTTGGGATAATTTATAACTCCTTTATGATTGCTGTTATCACCCTATGCAAAGCGATCACACCATTTCGAATGGTAGTGGTAAAGATGAGCCACGACGACTAAAGTTGGCTTTACATGAACCAGCTTAGCAGTCATAAACTAGAGTATAGATGAGTGTCACTCATTTTTTCTTCATTAATTACATGTAGCCATTTCTCGTCATCGAAATTCTGATCACGGGTAATCATGCATTTTGCATTTGACATATGAGCCTGGCCATAGGAAAACGGGTGTGAAAGAAATGACGGTCCCTCAGGGATTATGGTCTCCTTTCTAATCGACCCTTACTGGCCCTGATTGTGTATACGATAATAGGGGAAAGAGTTGTATTTAGGTCACCATATAAATCAATGGAGAGTAGGACCATAATTTGATAGGACCTCCTACCCTTTTACACCGGTCTTATCACAAAAATGTGCCCACAAATGTGCTAAATTCAGATGCGACTTTTTGGTCTATATATGCAAGGAAAAATTGTTAAGACATAAGCCATGGCTCATTTGAAAGGTTTCTTTGTGCTTCTTAAGATAAACAAAAAATCTTGATATTGAAAAAATCTGTGATAAGACCCCTTTTCCTGTGGCCTGGCTCATTTATGATTAAAGACCGCGTTTTTCACATGTATGAAGAAATAAAACATGTCCGCGGACATCCATGCGTTGTCGATCAGGAATTATCGACAATATCAGATCATAATTTATTGTGATGAATTAAAATTGCACTGTATATTTTAACGACTGTTTTATTATCATTTGCGTTTGATCGTATTAAAAACACATGGCATGCATTATTTAATATCATCAACTTCTAAAACAGCATAGAATTTGATATAATCACCACCGAGTGCTCCAGAAATACGACTTGAAAAATAATGGTACTATTCTTTTTTGGTTTCTAGTCGTCGTGGCTTTCATTGAAGCAATCTCTACGTATAGGGTGTAATACTACAGTAACCGTTAAGCGTCTTAGGCCTACTCACAACACGCAAATCATGTGGAAGTTAAATGTAGCGGTTGCATCGATAATGCTTGTATTATTGGTATATAGTTTCATCATTAATTCCAAAGGCTATCAGCATATAAGAGAGACCAATATCAGGTTTAAGTTCTCCAAACAAAAGGATACGTTAAGCCATATTGTGAACGAAGATGGGGAACAAATGATAACGCCCTTAAATGAATTAGCCATGCCGTTACTAACATCAGGCGATGCACGGAAAAGTCGCAAGCAGTCACTGTTATTCAGTCATTTTCCAAAAGCAGGTGGGTCGGAAATAAGGCATATATTAACTACAGTAGTTGGAGAGAGTATAAATGTTGACCAAAACAGGGGAATGTACAAAAATAACAGTACAATTCTTGAAGATAACTACTTTCTTCAAACAGAATTTGTATCACTGGAGCCATATCAAAAATCAAATTTTTTCGTCATTGCGCATGTACGTTCACCGTGTAATTATCTACTGTCATTATGGGCATTCGGCTCGGACGGAAAAGGCGCGCTTTACCATTCGACAAGGGATAAAAGTGTGTATGGGAATACGCCCCCGTATAATAACAAAGATGACCTAAAGAGATTCACTATGTGGCTTCAAGACAATAAAAAGATATATACAAATAGACTTGTTCACAAGTATTTCAACAATAACATATGAAAATCAGACCCAACTTTGAGCAATGCGGACTGTTGGGTTCACACCGAAATGTTAATTTACGACTTGGTGAATTGCTTGAAACGATATGAAAAACAAGGGGGAATTGTAAAATGGGAGAAATTTCATAAGATAAAAGTGAATGCGAATCCTAGTACACATTCCACATGTGATGACTACTTTGACGATGGCAGAAAAGCATTGGTGATGAATTCCAATAAAGATATGGCAAAATTATTTGGATACGAGACCTGTTGCACGGAAAACAATAAAACGTTACCAGCAGAATTTAAAAAGTTCTGGATCAATTAAGCTACATTCGATAGCCTATCATGTTATGGAAGAAAGGCTTCGAACGTTTTCATATATGGGACAATTTACGATAATTGATATTTTAGAAATCTGTTGTTGTATTAGAGACTGCGACATATATGTTGATTTCATGGACATGCAATTTGTTATTTTTTGTTGACAAGACTTTAAGCAATCATTGCCACAAGGTACCTATTTGGAATATTGCTTATCTTTTTAAAAAATATCACTTTAATGATGGAGTTTTAGACAGTTAAGAAATATCTTATATATATGTGCTACCAACTGTTGGAAGCGGAATGTTTGATATGCCTCAGTCGCATAATAGAGTATGTTTTACTATACGATTTGTCAAATATTTGTATCCTCCAACACATCGGCCATATTAATATACACTATTGATGCATTATTGTGGTGAAAGCTATACCACAAGGTACATTTTGATTATATATCTTCGATTGCAGAGAACGGAGATACTAGTATAGGATTGAGTGTAGGTATTTCTGTCATGAATTCAAGTTGTCTAGACTCAACTTTACCCCATACCCCTTTAAGCATTTGTTATCACATTATTGTGTATTTCGTATACTTGATGAACAATTAATCGAATACATTGAAACTCACTAGAGGTGATGTTCTAGACGAAATTCATAAAAACGTAAAATGCAATGAGCATTCTACACTGTACGAAATGTGCTTCGATATTAGTTGATGCTTGGGTGAGTACAATGGCTTAGTAGGATTTTTAAACACGTGAGAATGCATTTAAACGTCTTGAGAGATTTGAACTCTATTTTTGATAACATAGATATAACAAACAATTGGAATTTTAGTTGTGTCACTTTAGTGGAACTTAATTAACAGGTACGTGAAAACAACCTTAGCTTTGTTGAATAAAACTTTGAATTTTACACGCAAAGCCTGCGCTAATTGAAATGCGAAAAACTGCATGTGCCGCCACTTTTGAAGAGACGAACAACATTTAAAGACAATTTTGAGGGGGATGAATTTGTTTGCTATACAAGCATTATGGAAACACTATCACGTAAGTTAGTGTTGTGCTATAAGTCTACATAGTATAGTATTGTCTGTATTATGTTAAGTACATTATCTTTAAAGATAAATCACGATGAAAGGTCGGTAAACCGGGCTAGAGAACGAGCCATGCTCTTAAACATGTACTATAGTCTCTGAGTGCCCAAAATAACAACCTAAGACAAAGCAGATATTAACGTGACGCGAGATGAGAGATGTCATCATTGTAGCATTGATCGGATCAATCTTACTTCTACAACTAACTGCGCAGGCGCACGACGTGACTTCCGATGACGCCATCAACTCTAGAGACATAATGTCAATGAGTTTTCTAGTCTCTGTCAATAACACTTGGGATCCAGATGGGTAACTATGGCACGATTTCATATTGTACACATGGGATCATCAGAAATGAATATATGTAGTTCTAGCAAGGAACAAAATGTCATACTCATCTGGAATTTCGTATCCGTATGCTGGCCCGTAAAACGTTTTCAAAAATCATTGTTAGAAAATATATGAACATATTTAGCATTTAAGCATACACGTACCTCATGTGCCTCTTTTATGTTTTACACAGTGCATCTGTCAAAAATACTTAATCAAGATTTAAAAGAAGATTTCTTAATGGTACCAAATGACTATAATTCATATTCTAGATGTATTGCTACAGCGAAGACTCCACCATTAAAGCCTGGGGTGATGTACAATGATTCCGATGCAATTGGGATTGGTGCATGTGATAGAGGACCAGTCAGATTTACCAGCAAAAAGAGTGCGACGGGTCTCAATAAAGTCGTGAGTACAATGTCAGGCCCGTAGCCAGGATTTGCCAAAGGGGGGGGGGGCACTTTTTGGAAAATTCCAGGGGGTTCTCTTTTGAGCTAAAATCACTTGAAAAGTGCTCAGAATGGTGAAAAATTGCATGATTTTGAAAGATTTTTGGCCAGGGGAAGTTGCTCGAACCCATCAAAGCCCCCCCCCCCCCGGCTACGGGCCTGAATGTATATGTAACCTCATGTGATAGTGTTATTGTATATAATTTGAATATTTTGAAGTATAAATACAGGTACTGTAAGACTAATTTAAATACTATGAATAATATTTCTGATCGATCTAGGCTGGCAGCTTCAATATTGCTTCATTATTGATGTGAAGCATGTGTAGCGTCAGAACTCTAAATTTTACAAGGGGAATATCTCAGTCTTATTTTCATTGAAAATACTAAAATATGATGACAGGTAGTTTTAGAAAATGTGGGTTTCTTGTATCATCTGTTTCAGGTTGAAGTGTCTTTTTATTCAAGTAACACTGAGGCCCCTGGTATGCCAGCAACATGTACAATAAATTGGAACGCAACATATAAAAATCCAAAACATTACGGAAATGCAGTTGACCAATCGCCTCTATCGAGCTGCTTCACTCTTCTGAATTACAAGGTCAACACACATGCGCAAAAGAGAAAATCTCCTATCGTCTTGTTGAAATACTTTTGGTTCTTCATACTTGACTGGGAATACAGAAAGTGAGCTAACCTTTTATTTGAACAAATGCTTACGTACCATTTATACAGTTTACAAAATGATGTAAAAATGAATTTACGATTTATGCTATTGTAATAAAGAAATTCCAAGGTCACACATTTCAAATTGGAAAGGTTCTATATGGAGATACATATTGCAGCATTTCTCCAATGAAAACATAAACAAGTCGAAGCGTCGGGTGAAAGTTCGACCTGTAGGATCGATTCAAACCTCTCTTCTGCAGGCCTAAATAATGGAAATGGTATAAATCTAAATTCAATGTGTCGATCCTATCGTTTAAACACCAATTAGAACAAAAACGTTAGTATATATTTATAGTAGTATATATATATTAATAATGATATGCTTATATTTGTGAGATTGCACAACAGAAATGGATTACCACATTTTTCATGTCACATACAATTCAGTTTGACGATGGTCTCTTGCAGCAAATAGCATCACATATAGCAAAATGAGATTCTTTGAGTCCATTGAGGAAATTGCAAGTTTGAGTTAACATAAGGGAGGTAAATATTTGCATAAGATATATGGTCAGGTATAGAGCTACGATAACACAATGCCAAAATGAGCGCATATGGGAAATAAGCAAAGCCACCCCCTTCCTCAGGACAGAATGTAAGAAAGTGAGACTTTAATTTCAATATGAATGAGAGATCAGTTAATATTAATTATGTCATTTTACAATTTATTTTCTGTTTTACAATTGTACAAGATTGTTCGAACTCGTCTCATCGGTAACTCCCATATTAGTGTATCCAATATTACAGTTGCGATTATGCTCCTTATTTACATTTTTACTTTGTTCTTTGCATGCGTCATTGTAAATTACATCCTTTGAATGTGCATCTTGTGAATTTACTTTATCATTTAGATTAATGTCGCTCATCTTTCGGACTTCAAATAAATCATCTGGAAATGGTAATTCAAATGTCGCTTTTGAGTCTTCTTGTGAGTGTTTTTCAAAACTGCTCATCTTGCGCATGCGCAGCATTTCATCAGGGAGTGGTTTTTCAAATCCTTCACGACCAACTAGCCAGTAAGTTGTCATGCTACCTTTACCCTTTATGTTAATTTCCCCTCTGCAACAGCATTCATATTGTTCGCTGTCTTTCAATGCGTTATATGTATATGGACTGATATGGATTCGCAGTGCTGAAAAATAAGAATAAATACATTATTAATTTTAGATTCTTGATTAAGACATGCTAATTTTGACTCCTCTAAATGTTTCTTCTTTGACAACATGATACGAACCTCTTTTGACATGAAGCAATTGTAATTGAAGAAGAGGGCTTTATTTACGTTCACTTGGTTACCAACTGAGACAGAGTACCCTACCTAAGTTCACACGGTAACAACCAACTTACGTTCACCGTGCGATTCCATCCTAGAAGCTGTATTGACAGCATCCCCGAAGAGGCAGTATCTTGGCATAGTCAGACCCACAACTCCGGCTACACAAGCACCTGCTCAAATAAAGTGTGATATGTATATTGTATGCAAATAATAGTGGTCCAAAGTCAAAACTGAGTAATTGTGGTAAACGCATAGATTACTTGTTGTAAAACTATTTCCAGTCGGTATAATTTGCCCAAAACGAAGATATTTATTCTTGGTCAAAGCTAAATCTTAGATAGGTAGAGTATACACCCACATTCAAGTCCTTGAGTGAAAGGATTATGTAATTGCATATTCCAAGATTTGACAGTAGGGATGTCTATCATAATGTAAAGCTGAAAGGAAAATGGTACCTGTATGCACACCAATCCTGACCCTCAACTTCTGTTGAGGTAAATGGGGAATTGTAAAACCCATGACTGCACTCAGAATATCCAGTGAACAATTGGCAATCTCGTATACGTTCTGTCTTCCATTCCTCACAGGCAGACCACTTACCAACATGTAAGCGTCACCTATTGTCTCAACTTTATATACGTCATGCTGAGTGATGACGTCATCAAAAACTGTGTACAAGCTGTTGAGTAAATCTACTACCTGAAATTGATAGGGAGACATAATGGTGCGCAAATCAGGAAGGGTCCTCTTAAAACCGAAGATCTTAAATCTGCTTTAAAGTTTAAAATTGTCCAGTGTCAATACTGATGTTTTATGTTTGAAAATATAAGACTAAGTAGTGTCGAGTTAATATGTACAACCAACCTGCATTGGAGTTGAGTTAGAAGCTAATGTTGTGAATCCAACGATATCTGAGAAATAAATTGTGACTTCTTCAAAGGTTTCAGCTGCTACTGTTTTGCCCTGTTTTAGTTGTTCTGCTACGGATCTGCAGTGAATATTATTTTCATAAATATGATGCAAAACAAAAGTTTCAGCTGCTACTGTTTTGCCCTGTTTAAGTTGTTCTGCTACGGATCTGCAGTGAATATTATTTTCATAAACATGATGCAACAATAAGAAAAATACAATCACGGTATCGTCGAAGTCCGAGCCCTTTAACCTTAACGAACTCAAATGTATATTATGTATTATATATGACCGTCTGAAATATATACAAGGAGGGCCATAGAAAGCCTCAATTTGCATCATTCGTAAAAGTTAAGATCACTTTCGACAAAAAAAACTCATGGGTCTCATCGTTCAATACTACCTTTAACAATGAATTTTAGTTTAAAGTTTCCAGAATTTAATATTATTTTCCCACAATTTGGCCAACCCTGTAGTTGCGTGTTAAATCATACTGTGGTAGCATCCTGTATAAAAGTGAGTCCGTTTTCTTCTTTTCATCTTCTAATTGTTGCGTTCTTTCAGCTACTACATCTTCTAAGTTGTTGGCATACTTTTCCATGATCTTCATCATGTTGTCCATGATGTTTGTTGACCTGAAATCAAACACAAAAGGATGGGTATCGGTATGGCGAACTTTTTGATCACACGTTTCTCTTAAACCAGTCAGTGTTTTTTACAGAATGAATTCAGTTCACCATACAGTATCGGTACCAACCCTTTACCCCGATAATTTTTGTAAAACTTCGGGGAAATTAATGCAAGAAAATATTCTCGTAGGAAATTGTGCACAGAACGAATATTATAATTAGTTTAATAAAAACAAAAAATAGCACTAACGTTCCTTTCCTATATTTATGCACAATTTTGAGTATTTGATTAAAAGATGGACTAGCATTGGGGTCTTCCTTCCAACAAGATGAGGTGATTTCTGTCACGAGATCAGGAGCTGCTATTGGAATGTGTTTGGCTACTGGTCGGAAAAACCTATCACCGGTTGGATGTTTCACCCTGTCAATAATTTCTGAAATGGTTGGCATTTAGACAGAGGGGGGAAACTGCACGAATTCATTGATGAACATATCTCTCTGTAATGAAGAACACCGAGGTGTTCCACCTTATATGGAGGTTCATATATGAATCATGGGGTATTCCCCGTCTTTCTTTACAAGATACACATACATATCTGCAGGTTGATAGGCAGTGTTTTGAACTATGTAAATGATGTAAATATCTAGTATGTAAAGATGGTTCGGTCGTTTGGACAGTTTGGTATTTTATAATACTTTTAAGAGGTTTTATCAGTTAACAATGAAAGGAGAAATAAATAGATGGTTGAATAACAAAACCACTATTGAACGAGAAATACAAGATCAAATAAATGAGATGAGAGGTATGCATGCCTACTTCTTGTATAACAGTTTAAGTTAAGTACGTGGTACCTTTTGGCGTAAGGATATCAACCTCAGTGTATGGACCATTGCGCCATATGATCTCTTTAAATACTATTCCAAAACTATAGATGTCACCCTTTTTGCTTCCACAAGATGGCGGGCCCCTCATTCTCAACAGTTCAGGCGCCATCCAAAATAAACCTTTATGAAAAAATAACCTGTGTATGAATGAAATTATACGGAAAATAGCGTATACTCGAATACACAGTATTAAATAATGTTAGTTATCGACCATTTATTAAGAAAAAATTCAATAAAATTAAGAATTCCAAAATTATTTTTTGTAACTAGGATAAAATGATGCCATAATAAAAGAACAATGAACTTTGGGATTTCCTTTCTTTATGAAGTTTCTGTTGATGACCCCAGACTCGTTAACCGTTTTTATTAAGCACCTCATTAAAATACTCAAATCTGATTGGTTAAGAGCTCAGGGTCTATTGCCATACGTGGCAGCAAGATCTCGTTCTATCCAGTATTGAAGCAACGAGATCTCCAACCATCCCGTATTTTTAATACCCTACCCCCAAGAGTGTGTGTGCATTTTGAAATTAATACTAATATGCATTTTGACAATTTAACACCATCTTTTATCTATCTACAGTAAATTAATGGTAGGAATATGATATTAACCAAGGGAGGTGCATAATAAGATAAATACTGGATGACCATGGTATGGATATTGCATTATGTCAATTATCATTGGTAGAAAAAACATTGGTAAATTGTAACTTTGATGCTGAAAACCTCTGTGGGTTCTTACAACGGCAGGACGACCAAAGAGATTGGGAAAGGAGCGATAGTGGTAGAACACCATCTTCTACGACAGGACCTCAAAGTGGGGGTCACAGTGGTGGTGAGTTATTTATTTGATAAGTTAACCGATCTTGTTTAACAATTTAGCAATGGAATTTGTTGTATTTTCTTCAAAGGCCAATTCCATATAAGCAAATCGAATAAATAATTTTTTTCTAAAGATATATTTATTTCATATCAAGATATTACAATAAATATTTCCCTTTACAAAACAATTTTGTGATTTTCAAACTCCCGTTTTTGGACCCTCAGCTGTTTTGGTCTACCCAAACATTCTAACTCGTGTCGACGTTCTCTGAATTATCCAAATAAAAAGAATTCTGACGTCAAATTGGCAAATTATAGAGGAAGGACAGAGGGACATTCAAGAAACCAGAGTTTCGTATTCAAGGCAGCGATATATATATTGAACATTATATGAACAATATGACGAAAACCCCAAATTCCTATGAATCGTATACTCGGCGGGTAAAAGTATACGACGTCTACTAAAATATGGCAGCTAGAACTTCATACTAGTATATATTACAATCTAATGATTAATATGTTCTAACACATACGCAGATACATTCATGTTTGTCGAGGCATCATTTAATAACACCCTAGCCCTGCGTGCGGGTCACGGCAATGCAACGATAGATACTCCAAGGTTTTACAGCGGCGGTGCAAAGACACTGAGCTTCTATTATCACGCATTTGGACAACAACTAGGGATACTCAAGGTTACTGCACAACCGTCCAACGCCCACTTATTTATTTTTGATGGTAAAGAATTTTCAATAATTGTAAATAATTATACGGTCCATATAAAACATAATATAAAAATATAAATGTACATGTACGAGGGGTGATTCAAAAGTAATGGACAAAATTTTATAGGCACGCTTACCTTTACCAGATTTGAATGAAACTTTGTACAAATAAAGATTAATCAATTATCTATTAGATGTTAAAATTTTATTAACTAAATGCAAATACATTTTGAGATAGAGCACTTCTCTTGGATCATGGTGCATACACCCGGAATCCATTTTTAAGGCTATTTTCATCATAATAACAAATGGATTGTCAATGAAAAGTTTGCTGGTGCAATATATTTTGCAATGCAAGATGTATATGAAAAGCATTTCATATTTAGATCGCATTTTACAATCCTTTGTACTGTAGAGTAGGACACATCTGTAATGGAACTTATTTCTCTCAGTGTCAATCTCCTGTCTGCATTTAGGATGGACTCTACATGGTGAATAGTGTTATCAGTGCGGCCAGTCTTGGGCCTTCCAGATCGCTTTAGATCTAAGACTCTCGTATCCCCTTCACTAAAGTGTTTGTACCATCGCTCAATGGCTTGCCTTGACAAGGCCTTGTCTCCATGTGTCTCTTTTATTTTCTTGACAACTGCCTGCCTTGTCTCTCCAGTAGCTACCAAATATTCAATAACAATCCTTTGCTTAACTTTGATTTGTTGTAAAGTAGACATTTCTTGGACGTGTGTGAGTCTAAGAGTCTGATCTACTTTCTGACTCACTGTGACTCATCATTCTTAGAAATATCATTGTGATGTCATAGCATAATTGGTTGTTGAATTTAGAACTCAACAGCAAACACATGGGCATGTGAGTCTTGCTTGACAATTGCATTACCATGCTTGTTAGACATATCATGTGTGGTAATTGAGTCATTAAAACGAAATCAAGCAAAAATGACAAAAACATTCAATTATCATTAAAAAACCAATTCCACCCATGCTTACCCTTGTTACCATGGTTACGCATAGCTGAAACAATTTCAAATGCATTTAAATGAGAATTCGACACAAAGTAGAGAATTGATTGATCTATTCACTGTGAAAAAATTAGACTGATTGGTTGAAATTTAGTATGCCTATAAAATTTTGTCCATTACTTTTGAATCACCCCTCGTATATAATAATTACATTGGTGTGTGTTTTAACCATATTATTGAATACCGAATAAGAAGCCACTGAGGAAAACTTCATATAAACCAACGAAACTGATAAACCAATGAACAACCTATTAACATCCATGACCATGTATAATGTATAGAATGTCACATATTGAGGGACATCCATGAAGTGGAGAGAGATGTAACAGTGTCATTGCTCAAATGAGTGTCCACATACTTTTGCAGATTAAAAATTCATAATTTACAAACATTTTTCATATAGTATTTAAGTAAAATACTCATACATCATAACTTACATTTAAATGTAATGTTTACAGAAATAATTATCCAATCGAACGAAGGTCGGAGGCATATAAGGAATGCCTCCGTCCGTCTGTCTGGGTTAACTCGAATAACATTGGCCAGATTTTGTTCATATTTCGTACACATATGCCCTATGGGAGGGGGGGGGGGTAGAAGTTCTGTTCGAAAGCCAATTTTCAAAAGGACCGCTCGTTTCAAAATGGCGGCCATTTTAGCGCCTATTTTACAGTATTTTAGGTGCAATATGTTAAACTGTAATAGCAATATGTTTTATATGTGAAAAATTATATAGGACATTAATAATGCAAGAAGCACATGGCAGCCATCTTGAGAAATGGCGGCATTTCACGCTATTTTACGATTTTTGCTGTAACTCGAAAAGTAGTGGAGCGATTTTGTTCATATCCGGTATGTGAATACTATAAGCATGGTTCACTGTCTAATGACACTTTTTTACATTTTTTAAGATAACCTCGAAAAGTAGTGGAGCGATTTTGTTCATATTTGGTATGTGAATACCAAGAGCATGGCACACTGTCTAATGAAACTTTTGGTAGATGGCGGCCATCTTTCAAAATGGCCGACATTTTTACGTTTTTTACTATAAATCGAAAAGTAGTGGAGCGATTTTGTTCATATTTGATATGTGAATACTATACGCATGGCACACTGTCTAATGACACTTTGGGGAGTAGTCGGCCATTTTGAAAAAATGGCCACCATTTACATGTATGCGTGTGCGATTTTGTTGAAATTTTATATGTGCCTACTTAGAAGCATATTACATTGTCTGATGACAATTAGACTAGTGAGTAACCATTTTGAAAATGTTTTATAGGAGTGTCACATATCGGATATTTTTGGGGTCGGGTCGGTAATTCCGTGTCAAGTCAGAAATTTTTTTTTGACTTGCTGTTTAAGCCTGCATATTATACTTTAATAAAGGGAAATGATAGATACTAAGCATTAAATCATTCGGGAAGAACCATAAACTATTTCCCTTTCGTAATTTCGTAATTTATATTCAAGAAATAGACAAACCAAAAGTTTGCGGGAAACAAAATGAATTTTACGATAACTTATATGATATTCCCTAGTGTTTTGACATGACCCGAAATTGGTAAGTAGTTGTTCGTTACCCGATCCGATACCTTCCGACCCGAGAATTAATGACTTTTTGTTAGGGTATTATTTGAAAAGTTAGTGAGTGGTGTTATTTGAAAAGTTAGTGAGTGGTGTTCGACAGTGAGTAACATAAGCAATAATCTAAAGATGCTATTCTTGATGTTAATTTGAGTGCATTTACCCTTATGTCTGCAACTTTTTATACACTAAGTCGCCCCCCCCCCTCTGCGATATTTTTTATTATTTGTCTGGTTTCATTATTGTTTGCATTGTCAATAATCTCTTCTGAAAAGTTTTGTTTTTAAAAACTAGGTCAACATAGGTCAAATCGAGGTCAACGTGACCTAGGGGCTGTACATTTTTGAAATTTTGTGATAAATAGTCAGTTTTCTTTCACAATAATTTTTTTGTGCCAAAAGAAAGAGGCGCAAAAATTGCAAGAAGTACTCTTGAAAAAATCGAGAGGGGGGGGGGCGGATTGAACCCAGTAGACATTAGGGTTAAAACCATCAAATGTTTGTCATACAATTGGTATGAGATCTATATTTCACGTTTCTTGATTGTGCAGGCCACTTCCATGAAAGTAGGGACGAGTGGATGGAAGTCATTGAATTATTACCAAGAGGTACTAGCTCAGTGCGCTTTCAAGTAATCCTTTACAGGGGTTCGTACTCATCAGACTTTGCTATTGATGACGTCAATGTGACTCTTGTGGAGTCGAATGGTGGAGGACACGAAGGTAAGAAAGACACACAAATAAAACCTTTGGCATAAAGAGCTCCATCTGAAATTATCAAGATGGTATAACAAATCTTGAAAGACGATGTTTTCTAACTTGGCATCTTGAACACAATTAACTTGGCTAATGCAAAATGGATTGTCTCTTTTAGACTGTGTATGGTCTACATGGACACGCTGGACATATGGGTCATGCAGCACAACATGTGCAAATGCCATTGGAGTAAAGGTTGGAGTGAGAAAGATAAATCGATGTAAATATGGCAAAGCCATGGAAACAAAAACTGTTCAATGCAGAGGTTCAACGCTTTTACCGACCTGCACCTAGATAGATACTACTAACAAACAGTTTTAAACCTCAAAATGGGAAAAACTTATAGACAATGTATTGAGGAATTATATTTTGCTCCTTAAGTATTTATTTCCAAGCGAGGATCAATAATGGATCAAAGGGCACTTGGCAATTTTTGTAGGGGTCAAATGCTAAGATATCATTGCATGGTAGAGAAGATGCGATGACCTGATGCCATCTTCTTTGATTTTACAAATCTAGCCAACACATGAGAGAATGCTAATGCTCAACCAATGTTATCCAGGCGCAATAATTCTGATGTAACGCTGGGATAAACACAATTTCCAAATCATTTTATCCAAGCGTGATTGGGATAAAGTGTTTTGGAAAGTGCGCACGTCATTGGTCAACTCCGGGCTCAACGATGACGTCAGAAGGAATGACCATATATAGAACGTCGGTCAAATTTGGCCGACGAACACTGATTGGCGCGGTGAGTTCACAGGTTTATTTTAGTTTGAAAGAGTGAAGACGAAGCTCTCTTTAAAGAAGTGAAGTCAAACGAATGCAAAGGGTATTTATCACCCAACCACTGCTCCACTGGGATAAAGTGATTTTAGAAACGGATAAATTGGCTCTTTATCCCGCCTCTGTATTTGACAAGTGCTGGGATTTGCTGGATATACAATTAGCTCCTTATTGAAATCCATATCAATTTACACATGACTTAGACAGGTGTGTAGATACGCTATAACTAATGTGCAGAACTGCCTCTCGCTTGAACAGTAATAACATAATTCTATAATTCCACAAATGTAAAGATATAATTATCAGAAATCATATTTATTAATGATCGTGTTCGATACAAAACAAATGCAACGGGCATTTCGTTTTTGCAAGTATAACTAAAAAATTACAAACACACTAACCTGCGATTTTTAAATGGTGTACCAACCTGGATTTCCACAAACGAAACTTGTCGTCTAACTAAGAAATTACCCTATATTAAAAGTGTAATACATCTTTTGTTAGGTAGGTCGAATATGCAACTCAATGATTTATTATATGTTTTTTCTCTTTCTAGAGGGTGGCCAATAATGCTACATAGCCTCGGCCCCTCACAATCTATGTAAATATTTATGTTGAATAATATGGAAATAAATAACAATAACCTATAAAAAATGTTACTATTTTTCTTGTTTAACTTTTATGTATACTGTAAATAAAATGATGTAGCATCATAAAGAAATATTTATCATGTTATAGATACATCTTTTCCACAAGTGTCAATGAAAACTAACATTCTTAAATGCATTTTCCTCTGAACTATTTATTCTGTATTTGATTTCCAAATAATTTTTATTTTTTCAACCAACTTGTTCCGAACAAAATCTGTGTTAAGATGTCATCTACGCAATGTTGTATATACACTGTTGCTCATAAATATGGAATATTAAATTTGGCAGCTCAGAATTAAAAGTTTGGAGTAAGAAAACATTTATTTGGAGTTGGCTCAGACATTTATTTTCTAGGCATATCATAACCACATATTTCACCTGCAAATCAACATTTTTTAGAGAAAAATATTAACATTTAAGTTTGGAAAATTACTGTTACTTAAACAGGGGTACGGTAAGAATTTTGGCATTTTCAAAATACCCCGATCCAAATCGTCCTGTAAAACAGATCAAACAAGATGAACATCTGGTCATGAAGATTGTGTCCTCTATCCAATTATCGCACTAATATGTGTCATGTCCTCTTTGTGCTGCACTCAGAGCATCAACCCTACGGGACCAGCATTGAATGAAACATCTGACCTTTCAAAGTGAAATAAGGCCCCATTCCTCAATCTGGGCAGTGCGTAACGTGTCTAAATTTTGAGGTGGGGGTCCAAGTCACGAATCTCATTACCAAGGTCGTCCCACATTTGCTCTGCATTAGCCTGATTGGCTGACTTTTGTGCCTATGGTAGCTGGTCCACATTGCCTGCCCTGATGTAATCCAACACGATGCCAGTAGCATACGCAACAGCAAGATCACTCTGCATTTGAATGTTGCCCCAAAACACTCCGTTTACATATGGTACTTGATGGAGGTCCAAAAGGTCAATTCACTAAGAAATAATGCTTGGGAATCACCAAGGGGTGCAATTTCTGTATTACTGCTCCAAACAACCTCTGTAATTAATACTGCTCCAAATATAAATAGGATCGCCTTCATGGACTGCTACATCAGTAAGTGTCCTTATTGTCTCTTTCCCCTGGTCTACGACAGAAACTAACACAATTATCAACTTTGTGGAGGACACATCTTATTTCTTCACACGCTGTCATAGGACACCAAAGATTAGGTCCAACGTTTTGGTGCTTTCCAGCCCATTGACGGCACCTTTCTTTGTTATGATCAGTCAGCTGTGGTCTCTTTAAAGGTCTCATGGCCTTGCATCGGTTATAAAGAAATCACTGGTTGTCTATAGCTCTGAAACGCGGGTTTTGAGGTGAGACAGCCATTCATCTCGTAGACTACTGGTTGACTTAAAGTGATTTTGATGACATAAATCGAGCTGTTGGTGGTCTTTTCTTACCTTTTTCTCTCTAGGGCTACTATTACTGTGACCTGGAGTCATATTCCAGTGCCTTTGGTACCACTGCAAAATTTTAGAGACTGTTACTGACACACCCCTAGGGTCCTGGCAATGGCAGTTTGTTTCATGCCAGAAAGCGCCATCCCTATGACCTGACATGCTCTTTTTCGCTTATTTTATGGGGCATGCCTTCTAAAAACTCTTCCAACTCTAAATTAAAGTTTTATAAAATGTGCACAATGGTTACAACTAAGATTTGGACACCTCTTTCAAGTTACCAATATCACGAGGTCATGGGGTCACCTGAGTGAATACAAGTTTAATCAACCATAAATATTTTAACTTTTCATACCAATCAGTTTTATATGCAAAACTGATGAGGGAATGAGAACATATTACAAATTTTCATCAAAATGTTATCATTTTGTAGAAATTCCATCAAACAGTTCGTATCTATAAAATATTCCATATTTATGAGCAACAGTGTATTGCTTGTTTATAGATCCGTGTCATCGTTTAAATGTAACATTACAAAACATGATTATTTGATATATTTGCAGTTTATGTGCTAATAAAACTCAATGCAAAGTCATCTCAATTGCTTGTGTTGAATAAAACGAAATAAATAGTTGCAAAACAATAGAAATAAAATGTACTATTTTGGTGAACATTTTTATCATTTAATTACTTATGTCAAAAGACGTGTAGCTAACAATACATGCGCACTAGTTTGTTTAAAAGGAGCAGTTTCAATATTTCGATCCTCACAATTTATTTCGAACTCAGATAACATTCAATTTTGTCAACAACGCATCGTCGATTTCCAATGGGTCTAGAGAATCAAGACTGACACAACAACGCTGACACACTAATACACTGACAGGTCTTGAACGTTGTAAATTTAATACATCTCATCTCATTTACTCCTCGAGAGAGTATTTGTCAAATTAAGGAAAGGGTCTGACACACGTAAGCATATAAAAGTGTAGTTATCTCACGAGGGTGATATAGGAAAGCCGTCCATTCGTTCGTCCGTTTTGCCGTCCGTGTATCCCAGCGATACCTCAAATAACGGTCGACTGATTTGAATAAAACGTTATAGGCTTATGCCTCAAGGATGTAGGACATCTGCTCAAGAAGGAATTTTCGATGTGGCCGCTCAATCCAAAATGGCCACCATTTTCGTAAAAATGTAATCTTTGATAGCTCAAATACTAGTAATGGAATTGGTTCAAATTTTATATACTAATGCCTTGGGACAAAGGAGTCTTGCTCAAGAAGAGATTTTCAAGATGGCCACTGAATTTCAAAATGACTGCCATTTTGTAATATCGTTATCGTTGATAACTCAACTATTAGTGAACGTAGTTTAGTTCAAATTGTAAATGCCGTTGCCCAAGGATACATTAACTCTGACTTTTGAAGATGACAGCTGATATACATGTATGTTGGTGCCTAGAGACAAACAAGCTCTCCTCAAGAAGAATTTCTAAGATTGCGGTTAAATGTCAAATTGGCTTCCTTTTTTCATTGAAAAACGTAGTCTTTGATAAATCAAATATCAGTGGGTGGATTTAGTTCAAGTTTTTTATCAAAATCTGTTTTGTTTCCTGGGATTTGCTGTTTTTCTAGTTGAAAAATATAGTAGCCCGGCCAGAATTGTTCAAGGTTCACCTTTTCTTTTCAATATTATCAAAAAACGATTTCATATTTGAAGTACTAGAGTAAAATTCTGACAAACAAAAATCAACAGGTACGTGGAAATAACCTTTGTTTAAGAAAACTTTGAACTTTACAGGTTAATCCCATATTGATTGAAATGTGAAAAACTACATGTGCCGCCATCTAAAGTGACAGCCATTTGGTTGAGAAAGAGTCGAAGGCAAATATACAAAGCCGGCTTTCAAAGCCGGCTTTTAAAGCCGGCTTCTACAGTACATCAGAAGCCGGCTTCTGGCGTCACCAAGAAGCCGGCTTTTAAAAACCGGCTTCGAATGACTTACAGAAGCCGGCTTCTGCAGCTACCAAGAGCCAAGTTTTAAAAGCCAGATTCTCTCTCTCAATCATTTTGTTGTGCATTATGCATCTTATTCTCGTATAATTAGTATGGAAATGAGAAAAA